GCAACATATGGTCTTCACACAGAAAAAGAGGTGAATTTTCAACATTGCTTAGAAGAATTTATTGAGAGTAAGATCAGTTATAGCTTCACAGTGAAAAGAATAAAGCTAATATTTCCTAAAGGAGTTGTTACTGCAAATAAGAGAAGGGAATGGATATTGTTGCAAAAGGTTGGCTTCAACCTAGTAGATAAAAGACATCTTGGAGAGTTGTTAGCAGTTGCGTGTGATGCCAGCAGATGTATCCTCAGTGTGGGAGGCAGTTTATCCTAACATGGCATTGGATATGTGTGTATCATGTGTCTATTGCCTGAAAAGCCTGGAATAAAGGAATATCCCATTTGAATAAGACTATCTGCCTTGTCTCACAGCAAGGGAAGTGTGGCATGGGCAATAATTGGAAGGACTGAAAGATTGGGCAACTTCTGGTCGAATAAGAGCCACTTGTTCTTCCATATGAAAGCACAACTGCAGTGCATCCCTCTGATCTTGCACAACATGACCAGAAAACAAATGAAGCCTGGCGCTGTTACTCTAACCTGTCAATCTGGAATCTAGTTACCCAGAGGTTAGGCTCTGGAGGCCCCACCTCACCTGCAGCAATTAGCGATCCAAATCGTGCCTCTCAAGCTGAGACCGATATGGACACTTCCTTTCCAAGAACATTCTTTTTTTTTTTAAGATTTATTTTTATTATTTATTTATTGGAAAGGCAGATATACAGAGAGGAAGATCTTCCGTCCGATGATTCACTCCCCAAGTGAGCACAACGGCCGATGCTATGCCAATCCGAAGCCAGGAGCCTCTTCCGGGTCTCCCACGCGGGTGCAGGGTCCGAAAGCTCTGGGCCATCCTCGACTGCTTTCCCGGGCCACAGGCAGGGAGCTGGAAGGGAAGCGGGGCTGCAGGGATTAGAACCGGCGCCCATATGGGATCCCAGGCGTGCAAGGCAAGGGCCTTAACCACTTGCACCACCATGCCGGGCCCCAAGAACATTCTTAAGTTATCTTATCCTTGCTTAAAAAAAAGAAAATAGAGATTCCAGTTGAATATCACATTGATAAACTTTGATATGCAAGTTACATGTCTTTCTGCTTATGAACTAAGTTGAAATTAGATGCAATACACTAATTGTGCAATCATGACCACTGTTCATTTCTAGAAATTTTGATCTTTCCCAAACTAGAACCCTTTTCATATCAGTAACTCATTATTTCCCTCCCTTAGGAAATGAATAATTGCTATTCTTGAGTATTTGCTATAAGAACAGTTTAGAAGTAGAATTTTTCACTATTTATCCTTTGTATCTGTCTTGTCTCACTTTGTGTAATGTGTTCAAACTTGTTTTGATTGTAGAACATGTCGGAATTTCATGTCTTCCTAAAGCAGAAGATATTGTTAGATGGATGCATAATTAAAATGATCCACCTGTCCATGGGCAGTTGGGTTGTTTCTGCATTTTGACTGGTATTAATGACACTACTGCATACATGAGGGAGTCTGCAGGTATCTAATCAAATCCTTGTATTCAGTTCTTTTGTGATTGATCCAACACTTCAGCATTTAAGTACAAACACTAATTCTATGTTCTGTATTTTCAGGAACAACATACAGTATTCCACAGAGGATACATCACTTTACATAACTTAATTTCCAGTTTCAGGGTTGATAGGGAAGGGAAGGAATTTTTTTTCACAGAAAGAAAAAAAAAGATGTTCCCTTTAAAATGGCTCTGATAATAATACCATAATATGTGCCTTTACATAAAAAACTTGTACTTTTCTGAAAAATAATAATTTTGGAGTCTGTTTCTGTTTTTAATTCTTCATCTTGGAGAACTCAACATTAGTGACATTCAAATTAAATGAAAATGGCATGATAACATTTCAGGTAGAGACCACAAGCTCCTAGCAGTGTCAGTTCAATAACTAAGAGTTGATTAGACATGTGAGTGGTCAGAAAGATCAGGAGAATTTGAAAAGGTTGTCCAAGCTGACCCAGGAGCTGTTGAGCCCATTAAATTAAATAAATAGCTTTAGTGATAACACAGAGGGGTATTGACGAAGACAAAAATAAAAAAGCAATCAGCAACACCTTTTGCATGGTACCCTAAGAGACAGGGGTCACACTTTGTAGAAGACCACTGAAAGTGGCCTGATTTGTAGTTATGATGGATGTGAAATTTAAGGACACACGAATCAAAGCCTGTCAGAAATCATTTTAAATAAATAAACCCAAACACACACTACACTACACACACACACACACACACACACACACACACACACACACAACCTAAATCAATTATTGTGTTTACAGTCTAGGAAACACTATGAAGAATTAACCTGAGTGAAAAAAGACTATATATTTAGAAAGTTAAAAAAATTCTGCCTATTTAAATATACCATCCATTTATTATTTGAAAGGCAGAGACAGAGATCTTCCATTTGCTGGCTTACTCCCCAAAATGCCTGTAGCATCTAGAGTTAAACTAGCCAAAATCAAGAACCAGGAATTAAGTCCAGGTCTCCCACATGGGTGGCAGGAACCCAAGTTAGTGGGGAACTGAAGTGTGAAACAGAATCCCGACTGTAGCCCGGGCACTTCAAGTTAGAAGGTGAGCATTCTGCGCAGTGTCTTCCTTGCTGTGCTGAATGCCCACCTAGACATCTTACATTGTGAGGTATTTACTTGCAGAAAAAAGCTTTCTTCTGATTGAATATCTAGTCGTATACAGAGAGACTGCTGGCTCACTGCTACTGGACGTATGCTTATGTTCCTGTTGAGTGCCAGTTGTGGATCTGGCAGTAGATCATGGAGATGGGGGGCTACCTGCATGCCAGAAGGTTGCAGCTTGTGAGGTAAGGCAGCTGGGAGAATTGGGTGGACTCCTTGATGCCAGGAGGAAGATGAGGCTATAAGAATGACCTGGGATAGAAACATTGGTGGAGAGTATAGTAAGCAGAGATGAAGGCAGCACAAGGGCCTGATATGATGGAGACACAACAGAGAAACAACAAAAATAAAAGCTATTGGAAGTTACCTGTTGTTCAATGGTATTGCCAGGCCATGGCTTTCAAGTCTGGATGCAGCAGAGCTACTACGGCAGAGGAAAGACTAAAGCTATGTTATGCTTTGACTTAGTAATCTTTAAACCCATCCCAGGACAATCTTCCAGTTCCCTACACAAGCACACCTTTTTTTAAATCACCAGTTTTAATCTACCTAATTGGATAGTCAGTGTCAGTAGGAAAGTATGTGTGAGAGAAACCAATGGATAATGGTAGTTACCCTCATGCTTTCGTAGCCTTTGGCTACCAAGTTCTCTTCCCACCACTACCTAATTGGAACATTGTGATTGGTTTCCCACCACGCATTCTTCTTCCCCTGTCCTGTCAAATAGCGCCATCAGTGAGACTTGTAGAATTAGCTTTAGTGAAGGTCACTTAATTGAAGGGTAATCCTGTTTGAACTTCCATGGTCTTAGTTCAATAATGTAATTCTATGTCCTGGCCAATAAGAACAGAAGGTAGTTAGGGTGAAGAAATTTAAGATTAGTCAAGATGCCCCTTCTGCAAGATGATAACCAGAAGGTGACATGTACTTGGGGAGGCAGCAGCAATGGCCTGGATAGTTGGGTTCCTGCCACACATATGGAAGGTCTGAATTGAGTTCCTAGCTGCTAGTATTGACCTTTCACATCCCTGTGTGTTGGGGACTTTTGAGAAATGAGCCAGCAGATGGAAGTCCATGTTTGTTCTCCCCTCCTCCCTCTCTCTGAAACATGGCTCTAAGGCTTTTTAATTATCTAGAATAAAATAAACCCATTACAAAGTTTTAAGTATGATAGACTAATGATATACATAAAAAGAATCTTGAAAAACTACACAAATTGCTTGTTGTGAAAAACACTCTTCATGGATTTCAATTTTTGCACCAAAACAAACATTTTAATTTTATTTTCCATGAACTTTTAAAATGCCTTAAAAGGAGTATTTACCTTTTTAAAGAGGTTCTTGAATGGTCAACTTTGAGGTGCAGTTGGCTCGAACGGGTAAGGGCAGTGAAGGTGAGGTACAGTTGATGAATTGGGGTTGTCCTTGATGTGGAGGACTGCTGGTTTTGGTGATGTGTGGAATGAATTGGTGAGTCATGAAAAGAATGATGTTAAGAGGGACTCCTTGGAGTATAGGCAAGAAATTGGGCAAAACTGGAGATAGATACTGCTTTTGGAGGAATGTCAAGCTTTAGTTTGGAATGTGTTAGCACTGAGACATCCTTTTTGCATTTGACGTAAGATATGGAACAGCCATTTTATTTATGTCTGACTCTTACTGTGACAATTTCTCTAAGCTAGAGTTAAACTTTCAAGAGTCACCGTTTTGAGCATTTGAAAGTAAACCAGCAGGTGGAAATGGCATTTTCTCTCTGCCACTAAAATAAATTTAAAATGCTTAATGTAAAATAGAATCACTGTTTCCTCTTCTCTTACTGAGATTAAGGTTCTTTTGAGATGAGCCTGTGTCTCTGGAGTGGGAAACAGGAATAACACTTTGTAAGTTCTTGATAAGTAAATATTGATCGAATGAATTTGAGAGGGTGGACTTGGACGGATGCTTAAAGAATAGAGAAGAAATAGAATGAGGGAATGACCACTTTTCCAGGAGGAGGCAGAGATGCAGGTTAAGTGCAAGGGTGTGGAAGGCAGTCGCTAAACGGGCTGAAATGATATTCTCATCTGTGATGTGATTAACAGCCTGATCATTTTCAGACAATGTGGAATGGATGGGTTCTGAGTTTGTACTGAAGCCTCTTTGATTTCCAAGCTTGTGGTTTTGTACCCTGTGTTCGCCCTCACCATATCGTTTCTGTTGGTTATCACACCGACTCTCAGCTCACAGGGGCCTTGTTTCTTCCCTCTTGGACCTGATGAAGTACTTTCTGTCATCGGCACTCTCTTTATGTGATTTGTTTTCTGAGTTCCATTTGTGCTTCTTTCTCAGCTCTCCACTGCGGTTTGAATCCACGGGGTATCGATCACCCTGCCTGTGCTGAAGGTATTAAACTGCAAATTGAAGGTGAAGGTGTGGAATCTCAATCCATTAAAAACAAAAATTTGCAGAAGGTGCCTGACTCGAAAGGAACCCCCAAGCGACTGCAAGCAGAAGCAGACACGGCTAAGGTAGGAAATGATCCAGTAAATCATAGAAACTCTGAAACCTACGGGTCTGATAGGTTGGGGTCAGCACACAGGAAAATAATGTTTTCACTAATTACTGTTGGCTCTTCAGTTCAATTAGTGCTGTATCTTGATGAAAAGTAGTAATAAATGAGCATGTTGACTACACTTCCTTTAGAATGAAATTGATGAACATTTGTGGTTAGTCTCATAGCAAGAGTCTGAGCTATGATTTGTAGAGAAAAATGCCTTGAACTTAAAGCTGTCAGTACCAGCTACCAGACTTAGATTCACCACATTAGGGTGTTGAGCATGTCATGTGCACTCTGAGTTCCAGATTCTTCATTTCTAGAATAAAAATTGTAAAAGCTATTGCTCCCATCTGCTTAACAGAGCAAGCAGTTCCATACATGTAGAAGCATTTACTTTTATTTTGGGGGAAAAAATAAACTTTTTTTCCTATTAACTTTAGCAATGAATTCATTGCCAGATTTTAAGTACTTTGAAAAAATTCCAAGTTTGCATGCATATGAGGAGTATTGCTGACACTGTAACAACTGCTATTTCATAAAGTGTGTATGTGTGCAGACATACATATACCACACACATGCACACACACTTATGGAAATGTGAGGAACTGTGTTCCTGTAACAATTCTATAAGACAGATTAACAAATACTTGTGTTAGTGGAGAATAAAATTGTTTTCTTTTGCTGTGGACTTGTCCCTCTTAGTGTTTAGGCTAGATGTAGGTTTTATAAAGATGAGGATGTCCTCCTCCAATGGCTTTCTGTGATGGAACTCACCAATATTCATCCTGTATAAATATTGAAGATGTACTCATTTTCCCCTTGGAATTAACTGTCGTGAAATTTGGCTGCTTACTTTGTATGTTCTTAGCATGGAAATTGCAATTGTTGGGTGAGTGAATGCGTCTAATCCTTAGAGAGCAATTGCTACACGTACCAGGAAAGGTCTTTTGGTTATTGTGCCATGGATGCTTTGATCCTCTCTCAGTCTTCTTTCAAATCAAATGGTATTTTTTGCTTTATCTACGATTTTTAATAATTGCCATAATCGCTTTTTTTCTTGTGAATAATTTCAAACTGATGACATTAGATTGTGTGTGTGTGAAGAGTAGGAAGTCATTAGCAGGAAAGACATTGTGAGTTATATGTACTAGATATTTTACCTAAGATAATGTACACTTTATAGAGAATTGGTCATTGATCACTGGAGTTTGATTTATGAGAAGAGGTGGAAATAAGTGAACCTTGTTATAATATCTAAATCTGATCGAAATGTCCAAATAAAGCAGGTTAGAAGGAGATTCTGGGGAGTTTAACATTGATGCAATGCTTCAGGTTTTATCAGACTAAAGCTTTAGTAAAACGTGGGCAAATTGTGCATTAATTCATGTAAGACTTTGACAACAGTAGTTGAGGATGGGTGGGCATGGACCGAGTTGGAAGTGGCATTGTGTGTTCACTGCAAGCACTGGGTGCATCGCTCCCTGATGTTTCCATACCACAAAGTAGGTGCGTATATTATGTGCTTGTGCAGACATTTCTGCTTTCTCTTGTGCACTTACAGGAGTTTTGGATTTATCAGTCATCACTTTTTCCTGGAGTAAAGAATTGAACCGCTAGTAACATGACCTAAATTTAACTGCAAAACCGCTGGCTAAAATGTGTGCACTTAAGGCTTTTCAGCAGTGTGAATTGGTACAGCATTTTGGAGGAAAATAAGATAGTAGTGATCAAAATTTTTAAATGAGTGTAATTTGTGGCTAAGCATTCCATTTCTAGGAACTTGTGCTAGGGAAAGAATCGTGCAGGTCTACCAAGAAAGCCCAGGAGAACTGTGACTCTAGAACTTGTTAGGAGATAAAAACATTGAGAATAGCCTAAATGTCCATTCATATGACTCTGGGTGTGTATTTATGCAATAGAATAAAGCTCTTCCTTTACAAGGATGCAGGAGAACTGAAGGGCTTCTGGAGGCAAATGCCGATTCTAAGGCGAAGAAGGCAGAAGAGTGAGTTACTGTACAGTGTATGATGCATTCCCATCTATGTAAAATTGTCCTCTATATAAAGATTTTACTGAATCTGAAAGCATTTAACCCATGATTTAAGAAATCTTATATCTGGAGTTTAAAATTATGGGAAGGGGAACTTTCATTAGCTGTATCCCTATTTTGTGTCAACTTCTTTAAGATCTATATTCTCTTAATTATTTATTTTAGAGTCTTACAGATATTTTCCTATTAACCTTAGGACTTCAATCACAACTTTCTCTTTGTTGGGTTAGCATTTTGCCTTTAAAGGTGCCAAAGTTCTCCCACATGGGTTTTAATTCCTTTTGAAAGGTTTATTTTCCAAAATTATGTACTGTTTTGGTATCTTTGTGCTTATATGTATATTGTATTGTAGAGGGCATCTGATTAGGTGCTTTTGTGTTTTTCTTTACCTGAACCCTGTGTCTCAATAAGCTCGATAACCCTGACCGTGTATTAAAGTCATGGTTCAGTTTGTTGTTCTATCTATTCTTTACTCACATGGTAGTGGGGACAAAATTGAGAAGAAAAAGGGGGCTATGGCACCTTTAGAACTGAATCTGTGCTGTAAAACTGGAATGGTGAGCACTCCAAACACAGAGGAGAGTTTCAGCAATGAAGCCCAAGCATCGTGAGCCAAGCTGTGGCAGCTGCAGTGCTCAGGTGAGCTCCACACCAGTTTCTCACAGCCAGAGTATCTGTTGTGGAAATGAAGACTGGAATCGTGTTGGGGGTCAAGCTGTACATGGATTTTAACTCTGCCTAAGGATCATGGATTTACTTTCTACCTGTGTTATATAATGTAGCGGTTCCAGCCACCTGTGACTGTTTAAATTTACTGAAACAGAATAATGTTGAAGTTGATCTCTTTCTTCGTATCAGTACATTTCAGTTATCACATGTATACAGGAGCTGCAGTTTCAGACAGTGTAGATACAGAACATGATTGCCATGGAAGAATGTTCTATTGAATGGTGCTATCTTCATCAGGATAGGGGACCATTGGAGTGTTCTGGAAATAGGAATTTAAAATGAAATTTTGTTGACATTCCCTCAGGGAATAGATGGCACTCAAGATGGCATTCCCTCTTGGAATGTCTTGGTCCTGGGTATATACAAGATATGGGTGTGTTATTTTAAAAAAATCTCAAAATATTCAGGAGTCTGTTTTTAAAAAGATGTTCCTAACCGCTTTGATGATGGGGATTTGAACTTCCTTGGCAACAATAGCTGAGGCTTGAGATGAACCCTTGAATAGGCAGCTCTGGCTCCTCACATCTTGGAATTCTGGGATGCATCTTCCTCAAAACTGTCCTCAACACGCTTTGGGGAAATAGCAAATCATGACCTCTGGACTTGATTTTTCAAGGTGCTCAGAAGGAAACTTCTCCAGGCTATGTGTTTACGGTTGTCAAATAAAAGCTTGCTCTGTGCAGATAGATACCCACTTTTCCAGCCATGATGCCCATTTATGATGCCAGAGCTCTTCATGAATCCCTCACGTCTGCATTTCTTCCTCATATTTTTAATTATAAAACTGGTTACCAGAATATAAGTTCTGGGTAATAACTACAGGAAGATGTTAATTCAAGTCTAAGCCTAATGGTTCCAAATTCAGAGTGTTGATTTCGCTAACATTAAATGTACAAATGATCTGTTTATTTGAAACGAAAATGTACTCCGTTAACGCTGAGAATCTGGCCAGCTATGCAAAACCAAGAGGTTAAGGCACTGCATGGAATCTTCTCAGATTTTGAGTGCTGTATTATGTAAGGGAGAAACAATGCCAGCATCTAAAACAGTGAGTAATTGCCTGCACTTGGCTTTGGGACGCATTATGTGACTCTCTGGCAGCAGCTAACATTTTCTCATTAAGTTAATATTAGATTTAGTTTGTATTTCTTTGGCACAGAGTTAAAGGAGTTGGCCTGGAACTTGGTGCTGAGGGCAGGAGGAAGAGGAAGGCTGGTGTTTTGGATGGGCCACAGGTGGACAATGAGCGTCGACTGCAAAGCAACTGGTGGGTGTTTCTACCAGTGATTAGTAGCCATTACTCAGGGATTAAAACAAAAAACTCAAAGTATTTAGGCTTAGCTTAAAAAGAAGAAGGGGTGGATTGCACCTTGATCAAATTACATTGCCCAGCAGCGTTTGAGAAGCTATCTGGCAATCTGGGGATGGAATGATCTCATTTTTGGCTCTCAGTATTCTTGGCTCAATCAACAAGGAACAAGAATGTCTCCAAATGAAATTGTCAAACCAATCTCATGCCACCAGTGATAGGAAAGGACATGATTCATGGGACATAATGAGGCATACTGAAGAACTGTCAAGCATCAGAACAAGAGAGACAAGCAAAAATGATTTCATACTCTTATGTTCCAGGGCCCCAATACTTATATACAATGGGGACCTTGGGAACATCTCAAGAACAAATGTAGTATACTCATTATTTGAAGAGGCAAACCTTTATTACTAATTTGTTAAGCCTTCCAAACCAAAAGGTGGTACTAAATAAGATATATTCAAGCTGTAGATTCATAGTATAATTAACAAAGAAGAAAACCCAGGTAGCATTTAACCATCTAATTTCTTTTATACCGAGGAGCTGAGCCTCAGATAAGATTAAGTGACTTCTCCAAGATCTTAACACATAGTGCCACGGATTGACCTAAGGCAGTTTGTTGGACAAATGTTCTGTGCCCTCCTCGCCTTTGAGCTGACAAATCTAGATGAAATCACATGTGCTTTAAGCCCTTTGGCTATTGTTACTTTTGTGGGCTCAGATGGCAGAGTTTTCCCTGTAAGAATAATGGAAGAGATGGGCTTCTGCCAGTGCTGGGTCAGAGTGCCCAGTTCCAGTTCCATCACAGTTTTAACACAGCACAGGTAGGCTTTGCAAAAGATGTTTTGATCTATAGATAGTCTGGTAGCACTCTGCCCAA